TGATGCTTGAAAAGGATATTCATTTTACTTTTATATTTATTTCATTTTATTTTTCAACATTGTCTCAAAAAATAAATTTATTTCAAATGTGTTCAAAACATGTCAAATATTCCACAGCAGTAAGGAGACTCACAGAGAAAGTTCCATGTGGGAAATGGAATAATGAATAACTTCAACAGTTTTCCATATTTCACTAATATTGTTTTATTTATTTAGTATTTTTGGGGGGGACAGGGCTGGAGTATTGGAAAGCGACTCCTACATATATTTTCACTAAAAATGCCTCATTACGCATCTGTAATAAATAAGAACTTAAAAAAAATAACTGCAATGCCATTATCATGTCTGACAAAATGATTAATTTCTTAATATCTGGTAGTAAGTCCACATTTGCTTTGTCTCAAAAATGTCTTTTAAAAAATATTTAATTTGTTTATTCAAATCAAATCCACACAAGATCTAAATACTGCATTTAGTTGTTACTAGGCGTTTTGGAAGTCATTTATTTACATTATTTAACCTTCATATTAAACCAGTGCAGATGGTATGGTCCCAGCTCAGAGAGGTTAAGAAACCTTACTAAGATCTCATTGCTGGCAGGCACCGGACACAGAATTTGAATGAAATCTGCTTCACTCCAAAGCTTCCATGCCACTCCTTCTGATGCAGGCTACCAGAATTTTTCTTGTTACAGAGAGGCAAAAGGGCCACTATTTAAGAGAGAGGGTCTGGGCGTGGTGGCTTATCTCTGTAATCCCAGCACTTTTCGAGGCTGAGGCTGGCAGATCACTTGAGTCCAGGAGTTTGAAACCAGTCTGGGTAACATGGTGGAACCCCGTCTCTACAAAAAAAAAAAAAAACACAAAAATTAGCTGGGCGTAGCGGCATACACCTATAGTTCCAGCTACTGGGGAGACTGAGGTGGGAGGATCACTTGAGTCTGGGAGGTCGAGGCCGCGGTGAGCTGACTGCTAACCCTGGTGGTCCCCATAGATTGCGCCACTGCACACCATCCTGGGTTACAAGAGTGAGACCCTGTTTAACAAAACAAAAAGAAAGAAAGAAAAAGGAAAAAAAAAAAAAAAGAGATAGGGTTTGGGTTCAGGTTGGCCTGGATGCAAATTGGTACAAATTACATAATCTCTCTGAACTTTCATTTCTGTCTGCATCTGTAAAAATGATGAAGATTATGATAAGAATATGCGTGTCTGGTATTTAGCACAGTTCGCAGCACATGGAAAGTACTCGATAAATGTTAGCAATTCATGTGGAGGAGGAGAAAGAATCACAGTTTAATCATTTGCTTTTGTTAGTAGCTCAAGGAAGTGGTGGCTCATCATTGTTAATAAACCCTGCTCAGGATTGAGACTGAAGTGGGGAAGGGTGGGAGTGGGGACAGGATAGGGGAGTGGCTCTACCCGGATTGGAGAAAGGAGTTCTGGACGTAAAGATTCAAACTGGTGTCGGATGAGTTCTCACAAGGCCTCAGCTGGAAAACAGTTAAACTTGTCTTCCGACAGACCACGAACCCAAGCTGCCTCCACAGAAGGAAAACCAAGTGGGTGGCAGACAGGGTGGAGGGACTTCTTATGCTGTTTATTTGAATTTGGAACCATGTGAATGCATTTAATCTATTCCAAAAAATAAATAAATAAATAAATTACATTAAAAAATGGTCTTTTGCTAGGGGTAAGTGCTGAGAATGGTAAGACTGGGCTCTAATGATAATAATAATAATAATAATAATTATTATTATTATTCCATTATATTTTGTGCAGCCTTAGGAGGGCTTCAGTCATGTAGGACAGGTTTTGAACTAAGATTGGGACTTTTTCAGCCTGACTCTGACTTCAAAGATCCAAGTTAATATTTTAATTTCAGTCATCCTCCTTCTGACCCTGATTCTAAGAGTCCAGACCCAGTGCTCATGGACTTGGTTTATTCATCCTGTGGATTGCCTTCAAGAGTATGCATTGTTGGGAGTCAAGTCTATTGGTAAAATCAGGGAGGTATTGTCTGTGCATTTGCCGGTGCTTTCCCAGTCCTTTAGGCTAGCTATCTATTTATCTATCTATTTTGGAGACAGAGTCTTGCTCTGTCACACAGGCTGGAGTGCAGTGGTGTGATCTCTGCTGACTGCAGCCTCAACCTACTGGGCTCAAGCCGTCCTCCTGCCTCAGCCTCCCCAGTAGCTGGGACTACAGGCATGCACCACCATGCCTGGCTAATTTTTTTTTATTTTTTTGTAGAGACAGGGTCTCTCCACATTGCCCAGGGTGGTCTCAAACTCCTGAGCTCAGGCAATCCACCTGTTGCATCCTCCCAAAGTGAGATTACAGGTGTGAGTCACCATAGATATTTTTTGATACTTCAGTCAGCTAAGGCACTGGGGGATCTGATTTTTGAGAGCCCTTGTGAAGGTGGAGGGAAGCCACACAACCCTCTTCACAAATAATTAATAACTTGCTTGGACTCTGTTCTAAGGCCTTACATAAATTAACTCATTTAAACCTCACAATAACACTGTACTGTAGGTATTAATGCTATCGTTCACATTTTACAAGCAAAGAAACTGAATCAAGTAGTTGAGTAACTTGCCCAACCATCCGGCATTACCATCTTTGTTGGCAATGAACAGAGTGGAAGAAGCGTGTAGGGTGTAGGGGGTCCTTTGGAGATGACAAAAGCGTCCTTGGCTGTGTAGCAGCGAATCCCAACTCTGAAATCCTTTCTTCTCTGCAGCTTCTGGTTTAGGAGCTGGAAAGACAGGCTGTGAATTTCCACATTGACCTGGGGCAATTAACTTACTCTCGTACTACGTTCCTTATCAGTCCCGGGGAGGAGTTTTAGATTAAAAGGGTGTGTGCGTGCTGGGTGGGAGGTGGAGGGGCTGTTTTCTGGGCGGTGCGCAGTTTTCCCAGGTCTCTCGAGGGTGTTTTGAGGTTTTGTCCCAGTCAGCTCCCGCTCAGGTCCCTGGGCGGTGATCGTGGTCAAGCTTAGCTTGGCTGTTCCTCCTCCGCTTAGAAAAAGGCCGCCACTGGGGCCAACTCCGGCCACAGAGCTGCTGCCAGGGGACCTCGGGTGGGTCTTTTCCCCTGAGGTAGTTAGAGATCAGGATGTACCCTCAGGAAGGCATCTTGAAGTGACGGCTGAGGCAAACCTTGAAGGTCCAGGAGTTAGTTAGAAGAGGTAGAAGGGGAAAGGTGAGGCGCCCCCTCCCCCACCCCTTGAACAAAGAAAGCTCGACGGGGCTTACAATCTCCGAGAAAAAGCTGGGCGGGTGGAGAGGTCTGTAGAGGCGAAATCAGAACTTGGCTTTATTCTAAGAGCAATGAAGGAGGGTTTTGAAGGCTTTAAAAGAATGTCATTAGGAGTTTTAGGAAGACCCCCCCCCCCAGTCGCTTGGGAGGAATGGGTCAGAGGGGGACGGCAAGCTATCGCAGAAAGCAGCCTACTTGGAAGACTACCGCGGACTCAGGAAAGAGGGCAGGAGACACCGAGCATCTGAAGCCTCTCCCAGTCGCCGCAACACTGTGCGCTGTCCCTCGGCTTTCTTTGCTTATGTGGAAGGGCTCCATAAAGGGCTGGGCACGCGCCAAACGCTCATTAAGCGAAATAGCCCAGGTCCCCTCCTCTTTCAGGGACTCTTTGGTCCACGTGCCCCAGAATTGGTAGGGTAGGCGGGAGGACTCCCCAGGGCTGTAGATGGAGAACCGTTACCCCTCAGAAAACACAAAAACCTCGGGTGCTTTTGGCAGCAGGCTCCTCCGCCCATGACCTCATGCTTTAAGCTCCCATATAGCCTCCCTCCGCCCAGTCCACACCCAGCGCCCGAGTGGGGGTGGAGTGGGGGACACTGGCGAAGGTTCGGGTAGCTGGAGGTCATTCTTCCTGAGAGAGATTTTAGGGGAAGAGGCGCAACGATTTTCCCCACGGAAAAAAATGGATGGTGTAACTTTCTGTCGTGCAAAAAATACTGTCTTGCCCTCCACGAGACAGATGCCTGGAACCGGGCTCGAGGTGATCTGTTTAGCTGAACTACCTTTGGTTTACGTTTCCTCGGACCAGGAAAGCGGCTTGGAAATGCAGGGGTCTCAAGCCAGGTTCCCTGGCACCTGGACCGACCACTGCCACGCCTTCGCGGGACCTGGGGGCCATCCTGTTGTCGACCCCCGCCTCCGCCCCCGCCCCCGCCCGGGCCCGCGCCCGCGCCGCCGAGGTTTGAACCTTTGGCTCGCCTTTCAGCCCGCGCCCTGCCCCCTGCTCGCAGCTGCTCTCGGTTTGGGTGCAGCGGTTTCCCCCGCAGAGGAGGAGGAGGAGACAGCGCTAGGGAGCGACTCTGGGCTCGGGTTTCCGCACCAGAGCTGAGCAGCCCAGGGCGGCCCCCGGCGGCCGTCCCTCCTCCCCGGCAACACGTTCCACAGTCATGGCGCGCGAGGAGGGGCGAGCGCGCGCCGCGGCAGCACCCGCGCCCCCTCTTCTCCCCTCCCCTCCGCCGCCCGGCCCCTCTCCTAGGCAACCTCCCTCCCCGGCGTGCAGCGCCCGCCGCGGCGATGGAGACCCCTCCCCAGAGAGCTGCCCTTCCAGCGCGGTCTACTGCACCCCTTCCCCGCCCCCATCGGGGCGGAGGGATGGAGCCGCGCGCTTCGCGAACTCCAGCCCCTTCCCCGGAGCCCCAGCCCTCTCCCAGCCCCACCGAGGCCAGGGTGCGGTGGGGGTAGGCGCGGACCTTCTCCTCGCAGCCCGCCTCGACCTCGGCATCTTTGCAGACCCTTAGAAAAATAAAGCAAGCCCCTCTCAAACCCCAGTGGTTAGCCCGCAAAGCGCGTTACAATAACCGGGACGGCTGTGCAGGAAGCAATCCTGCACTGGTCCGGGTTTAAGGCGGCAGCTTCCCGGCCATGCTGCCTTCTCCTCGGCCTCGATTTTCCGGCCAAGCCGGAGAGTCCGCTGCACCTCGGGGCTGACAGGTCCCGCTGGCGCAGGGCCGCAACTGGGCCCGTGTCCCCTGTCCCATGCTGGTCCGGAGACCCGCCAGCCTACAAAAGGTGCAACCTCATGCACACCCAAGCGCACAAATAGAGTCGGCAGCGCACCGCCGCGAAGCCTGTGAACAATGCGCCGGGCGGCCGGAGCCCGCCGGAGCGCTGCGCCCCGGGGGACAGGGGACGCGGGCGGGGGCCGCGGCGGAGGACCAGCCGGCCGCGGCGCTGGACACCTTACTTCCTGCTTCCCCGCCCGCGGCCAGACCCAGCTCTGCGGAGGGATATCTCTCCCCTCCTCGGTCCCTCTCCCTCCCTTCCCCCGCCCTCCCCCCCCTTTTTGCTCCTGCTCCCCCCCACCCCACCCCGCCTTTCTCCTTTTGCAAGAAAATAATTTGACAGTCGATTTGCTGACAGGGGAGGAATTTGCATCCTGGATTTAAAAAAAAAAAAAAGGCCGAGAGGAGCTTGGGAACGGTTGCTAGGGGTGGGTAATGGGTGAAAAAAGGGGGGTACCAAGCAGCGGATAAGGAGGGTTAAGGGAGGGGGCGAGGATGGGGAGCAATGCAAAAGGTAAGGCCAGGTTGCCGCGGCTCGGCCCCGAGTGGGCTGCGGCCGGGGGAGGGGCGAGAGATACATATGTATTTCTGTCTCCCCAGCACACCCCCTTCCCTCTAAGCGATGGCTGAGAGGCGGTGCATGCAGATGGGGAGTAAGTTTCCTGAAGGGGAGGGTGGATGCACGCTCGCAGCCCGGCGCTGCAAATTTCCACCGGGGAGGGAGAGCGGCTGGATGCGGAGAGTTTGGAGTTGCTTGCGGCGGAGGGCAGGAAGGGGAGCAGGGCTGGGAAAGGGGGCTGGCGGGCGCTATATCTGGGAGTAAGTTTCCAGCATCGGGAGAGCCTGCACGCTTGCTCACTAGTAAGTTTCTGGCCGGGGAGGGCGCTTGGGGAGGAGGAGAGGGAGGGGTGCATGTATATAGAAGGGGGGAGGGGGGAGCAGATTTCCTGCGGGGAGGCTGAATGCATATGGAGAGTAGATTTCCTGACGGGAGGGTGGAGGCGTAGACGGACGGAGTAAGTTTCTTGCTGGGGTGGTGGAGGAGGTGGTAGGTTGGCGCTTTGGAAACCCAAAGCTTCCTACCCCGGGCTGGGGAGCACACTGTTATTGGGGGGGTGGGGGTGGGCAGGGGCCAGGTTCCCTGCTGGGGAGAGGGGCTTGCATCTGGGGAGTATGTTTCCTGGCGGAGCGATATTTGTTTACAGGCTGAGGGCAGTACTGTAAGTGAGTAGCGCTGCGAGAAGGCGGCTGACATAAATTAATATTGAAATTACTCCATCAGCTCTGCTCGCCCCCCATCCCAAACCCCAAGCGGAGACTGGTCTTTTCGTCGGATTGTCCATGCACTTGTTGCAGAAACAGCCAAGGTAGGCAAGACGCTTATTAAGTTTCATTTAAAAAAAATTAGTTTGGGGATGCTCCTCGAGAAGACGGGGGTGGGGCGGAGTGGGGAGGGAAGAGTGGGGCGGGGGACAGAGAAGGAGAAGTCTCCCCCCCTTTACTTTCACTATGCAAGCAGGCCTTCTCCCTGCTTCCCTTCTTCCCTCTCCCCTCTCTGGGCTGCACAGCATCCCAGCAAAGGGGGAGGGGTGAGGTGGGCGCTATAATTGGCAACCCTGGCTTAAGGGGTAGTGATGGTGGGCTTTCATCTGAGGCTGTGATGTTATAAAGGCTTCATTCTCCAGCTAAGAAACCGCAGGACTCTGCCTTTTGGGGTTTTTGACATGATGCATATGTGTATGTATGCGCGCTAGCGGGCTCTGTGGGGGCTGGGTATTCCCCAGAAGTTAGTGTGACCACCCAGATGGGAGAAACGTGTAAGGGGGTAAACTGTTCCTTCACTCCCCAACTTCAGTTTGGGAGACTGGGAAGTTACTGCCGGTGGTATGAAGAAACATTAAAAACCAAACCAAACCACCCATTCACTGGTGGAGGCCGAGAGCACCTGGCAGGCAGCCTCTGGCCAGCACTGGACTGGAGCATGTGCGCTTGCCATCCTTAGGTTACAAGAAAACGCTTTCTGGTTCCTCCGTGTGCCTTCCACCGGCCTGTTAGAGCAGCTTTGTGGAAACTCTTCTCCAGACTAGACGCAGCTTTGGCAAGTGTCCGTGCTGAAGCGGGTGGCTTCAAGTCAGCGTGGCCTGGGCTGTCTTGTGAAGTGCATGGAAGTCGTGCTTAGGAATGACCGCCCCGGGAGTGGCTAAAGAGTTCATTAAAAAATGTCTCCTGAAAACCGTCCAGGTGCACTTTTCAGCAGGTCGTGGAGGAGAGCTTTAAGAAGGGGAGTTTTAAGCTGTCCCAGTTAGCACCCACCTTCTGCATCATTGCCTTTTTAAGAAAGGAGTTTGGCGATAGGAAGTGTGTTGATGCCCACTGACTGGAGAGGATAACAGCAGGAGTCCTCAGCGCTTATCTAGTTAACCAGCAGCCTTTGCCTCTCCTTGTCTCTGTTTTCTCGGTCCTCAGCCTACTGATTTCTGCAGAAGAGTTGTAGGTCTTGGCTGTCAGCTACCTTGAGCTTTAACTTTGCTAGGATAATTTTAGCATCTCGGGTCCAACCCAGAGACGTTTAGTAGGGTTAGGGAGTAGCCACTAGGCAGTGGGGTTAACCAAGGTTGGTTAAGCTTTCTGCGATTCTGTAGACAGGCTCTGCTTTAGCAGGGGAGAAAAATGGGTTTTAAAAAACTCTCTGCACGTTGCTGATGGATAGTGCTGCTTTCCCCCCCCCCCCCAACTGTCGTCAGATTTCCAGATTGAGGGTTGATATTTGAGAGTTGAGTTAGTTGGGAATTAAATGTTATTGCTGCTTATCAAATGTTCTTAACAAGGCATTAGTTAAACAAATTAGCTATTATTTTTACCCTACGAAAATCTGAGTCTGCTTGTTGTATTTGCTGGGAGGGTAAACAAAATCTTTATGTATGTTCATTCCAGGGTGGAATTATTTACATGCCTAGCCTCAGAGCCAAGAGCAGTCATTCAGGTTTTTTTCCTTATATTTATGAGATTTATTTTATTGTCTTGCTTTGGCCATTAATCAAGTCAGAGTAGGTTTTTTTTTTTCTCTTCTACCGAGAATGTTCTTGTAGTAATAAAGGTTTGAAGGCCCATGAATCATAATTCATTCTTTTTAAAATATTGTGGTGATTGTCAGGATCTGATTTATAGGAATTGATACCCCGAGTGACACACCTCTTTGGGCTCCGCCCTTTTAGGCATGTCCATTTTCGTCAACGGATTGTTTAGAAACCAGCTTGACATCCCAAAAAGAGCATTTCCCTTCTGCTGTATGAGTAGATTAATTTTGCAGGTTCCATAGTAAACATGGGTCTTTTCACAGCTTGGTAAGCAGGCTTCCACATAGCAGGCATGTGTTTTTATCACATAGCATTTATGTGAGCTTGCTGTGAAAACAGTTGTTCTATGAACTGTGCGGAAAGTACTCAGTTTTGCCTCCTTTAACTAGCTTGGGCCTGTGGGTTTTGTTGAGTTAGGAACTTAAAGTGTAAAAGAGGAGACAGACTGTAGTGTTCTTTACTGCTTATATAATAAAATGTGTGGTCACAAAAAACAAACCTTGTTTATAATTTTCTTTTTCCCCTTCTTTAATGGGTGGGTTGGTCATAATAACCAATCACGTTAGATTTCCATGCAGTTGATTAGCCAGGAAGTGTTAAAATTGCCTTGTGTTCAATAGTTGGCTTAAGTTTACAGTATTTGTAAAGTGACAAAGAACTTAAAGCTGGTTTTATGCTTAAGGCTGGGGAAAACATCACTGGAAAGAAAGGTGGGGAAGGTACCAATTCCTAGCCATTTCTGGGCTTTGGATTTTTTTTATCTTAAGAGTGTGTGGTTTGATCCATGAGGTCCCTTCCAGCTCTGAAATTCTATGTCTTGTGAGGTCTCCAGAGGTCTTGACACTCTCTTCCTGAGCCAACGGCCAGTTGCTTCACGGACTTGGGTGAGCTAATGAACTTCTGTTTTTGTCTTCTCATGGAGAAAGTGGATTTGATCCTTGGTTTTCCAGAAAGGACTCTTGAGTGGCCTGGTGATCTTGACCATCAAACACATGGAAATACTTATGAATAAAAGTCTGCCAGTGTCTTGGACAAAAAAGTCCCAATTCTATGTGCTAATAGAGAGTAGAGCACGTACATATCCTAGGCGCCAAAGATAATTTTTGTTCATCTTAGAAGTGTCTTCTCCAGCCAGCTGGTTAACTTGTTTAGTGCTTGGTCAAGTCTAAGGTTAATTGAGCTCTTATTCCCATGCAGCAGGAGGAGGTAGCTTTGGGGAGAAGTGGGAGGCCAGAAAGCCCAGTTTGGCTTTGCCCACTTTCTGTGGGTAATTGGGATTTGGCTGAATATTTGTGATAAGCTTCATGATAATGATATTGTGTCATTTTTATCACCAGAATTCTCTATATTTCACTATGGGCATTTTTGGGAGAAGCTCTTGATATCTTTATTGACTTTGGACATTGACATGAAAAGTAAGGATCTTGGGCCGGGCGCGGTGGCTCACATCTGTAATCCTAGCACTTTGGGAGGCCAAGGCAGGCAGATCACCTGAGGTCAGGAGTTCAAGACCAGCCTAGCCAACATGGTGAAACCCCATCTCTACAAAAATATAAAAAATAGCCAGGCATGATGGTGGGTGCCTGTAATCCCAGCTACTTGGCAGGCTGAGGCATGAGAATGGCTTGAACACAGGAGGCAGAGGTTACAGTGAGCCGAGATCACGCCATTGCACTCCAGCCTGGGCGACACAGCGAGTCTCCGTCTCAAAAATACAAAAACAAAAACAACAACAACAAAAGAAAAGTGAGGATCTAGGCAAGTGGCTCATACCTCAGGCAGTGTAAGTGGGTGTTCATGGTCCTTCCCTAAAGGCAGCTGGAATTCAGCTCATTTTATTTCTTACCTCTCTGTGTGACTGAGGGAGGAGGGAGGACTAGAATCATCTGGGATCTTGTGGATTAATGATATTTCTGAATTTGCATGTTGGAGGGAAACAAACAGAATAGGAGAACTGACATATAGCTGATTCCTTTTGTGGAAAGAGGAAGACAAGAACAGCTGCATTCCAGTTTCTGGCGTGCATTGCCACAAGGATGCTGTGGGCATTTTTAAGGAATAGTATAGTCTCAGTAACATGAGTTTGACCCCAGGGCTCTCTTAGTAAATCTTTTCTTCTGCGCTAAAGAAAACACAGCAAAAAGCCTCTGTGATATTTTCGAAGAATTTTAAGTTCTTAGAATCACTGCTTGTAGTAATTTGGGTTTACTGAAGAAACAGATGATTCTTGGTTTTTCCTCATGGAAGACAATGAGCTGGCATGGGGTGACATATGCTGAGCTGTTGGGGTGTTGGCTTAGCAACATAAACATTTCTTTTTAAATGTTTGGTAGAGCAGGAAGGGGACAAAGAACCCATGTGCTTAAATAACAGTGATAACTCTGGGCTCAGAGAACGAGGATTTTTTTTTTTTGAGTCAGAGTCTCACTCTGTCACCCAGCTGGAGTGCAGTGGCTGGATCTCAGCTCACTGCAGCCTCTGCCTCCCAGGTTCAAGTGATCCTCCTGCCACAGCCTCCCAAGTAGTTGGGATTACAGGCATGCACCACCATGCCTAGCTATTTTTTTTTTTTGCTTTTTTTTTTTTTTTTTTTAATTTTATTTTGGTAGAGACAGGGTTTCATCATTTTGACCAGGCTGGTCTTGAACTCCTAGCCTCAAGTGATCCACTTGCCTTGACCTCCCATGAGCCACAGCACTTGGCTGCAGAACAAGGGTTTTTTAATGCTATCAGCAGCCCTGGTTTCTTTCATACATGCGGCAGCTTCTTATTGAGCACTTACTATATGTCAGGCGCTGTGTTAAAGCTCCAGAAATACACTGATAATTAAAAGAGAAATAATCATCTCCCTCTACCCATACCCCTACCCTTACCACTACACTTACAGTTTGCAGGCAGACATGTAAAGAAATATAACTTTCCAATTGTGATCAGTACTCAGTGACTTGGATGGATTTCATTAGAGTAGCCCGGAAAGGCCTCTCTGAAGTTTGGGGGTTGGGGGAGACAGCACATGAAGCAGAGCAGAGCCTGTGCAGAAGGACTTTGGTTTTGGGGAGAACTCGAAGAGGCACAGATGTTCAAGGCAGCATGAGATGATTGTGTGGGACTCTCTGGGCATTGAAAAGGTTTGCATTTTGTTTGGAGTGTAGTGGGAAGCCATTGAAAGTTTGGCATGGGGCCAAGCATGGTGGCTCAGGCCTGTAATCCCAGCACTTTGGGAGGCCGAGGTGGGCAGATCTCCTGAGGTCCAGAGTTCAAGACCAGCCTGGCCAACATGGTGAAACCCT